AAAAACCCAATCAGATCTACCCACACCCACCCGACTATCATCTATCTGTCTGTCTATCATCTGTCTATTTCACCTACACATCTCCAATATTGATGTCTATAGACCTATCAGCCAGCCAGCTAGCTAATTAAAAGTCAAAATTCCGGTCTGAGGAGACGGGACGTCACGCCATGCTGTCTTTGTCTACCACCAAGCACCAGGGGCTCACGGACAGTGTCAGGAGGGGAGCGCAGACCCATCTTCACTGCGGCCCGTCGCCGTCTCTGACTCACCTGAGCAGGATGAGAACAGTGGCTCGGAGCTCCCACCGCCGCTGCCTCGCGTAGCTTTCCTCCGGACGCCGAGGGGCAGGTGGGGAGGGGGGTGCGGGTGCTGGGAGATGCCGAGTCAGTCTGGCGACTCCTGGAATGACGTGGTTCACAACCAGAGCCAGAAGATGGAAGCAAAAAACCAGCACTGTGATTTGTGGGTGGGTCTGTGGTCACCATGGTGATACCTGACCAAGTGCCTCACCTCTACCTGCCTGAAACAGGAAGGAAATGCACGCTGCCCTGATACCCTCCTGCCCACTTCCCAATGGTGGACAGCGAAACATGGACCCAAAGGATGGCGGCCCCCGGTCTGCGGGACGGGGAGTGCTATTGGGCAGCCTTACTTCCATTCACGACGTCATTCAACCAGCGTCACTATCTACTTCTGGAACTTTCTGTCACCCCAAATTGGTTCTGTTCTCTCCATCTGTCCCCCACACTAAGTCCCTGATAAGGTGTGGTGGGCTTTGTCTCCCTGGCCTGGCCTGTTGTGGATATTTCCTGTCAGTGGACCTGGGCAGTGCTTGACCTTCTGTGCCTGGCTTATTCATTTGCTTTGATGGTTTTAGGCTACTCGATTTTTAAGATCCCAGGCTTGTTTTGCCGAGGGGAAATAGGACATTTCTCTTCTAGACGTCTTCAGACTTTCCTCATGGCTTCCTACCTGTGCCATCTTCGCTGTCACCTCTGGAAGAGGAAAACGGATCAGAAACGGTGTTTTCAAAAACACAAGATGACAAAGAGATCAGTTGCCCGGTGTCAAGTTATTGTGGTAAAAGTGCCGGCGCTCTGCACCCAGCCCCAGCCTCACAGCTGGGGAGGTGGCGGAGCTGGGGAGGTGCGTGCTTCCCGGAGGCTGCGGAGGCCGGACAGTGCCAGAACGTTCTACAAGTGTCTGGACACCTCCAGTGCTGCCCTGTGTGAAGGAGATAGCACGTCCCTGCGCCTCTGAGATGTGATTGATCCCCGGTGACAGCTCTCTTCCGCGGTCGGGAGGATGGTTGGCTTTGCTTGTGGCTGCACTGACAACAACATATCGAGTTCTCTTTCGTTCCTGAAGGGAAATGTCATAACGAGAACCCTCCACTAAATAACACGTGGCCATCACAGGGTGTGTTATTTCTGGAAAACAAAAGAGGCTGACCTCAGAGTCAGAATGAATTTATACCCAGCAAAGGAGGAAAAAAAAAAAAAAAAAGAAACAAAACAGACCTAAATATAGAACCTGGTTTGTGTGCTTTAGTATACTTGCTGTCCTTTCGTGTGGTAGGAAAGTCATTCTGGAGTGTGCAGCGGTAGGCTAGTGCCCGCTGCCTGTGAGGAGAGTCACACTGTCCACTCGGAAACACACCAGCCCTGTGCACCGGTATTCCGGTGATTGATCATTCACTCAGCCCCTCCGGTCAACCTCACCGAGTGTCTATTTTGCACATGAGACTGTGGTAGTTTTTACCTGTTCTGTCTACTGTGGTAAGCCCTGCATGGGACTTTGTAAATGAACGGAATCCAGTAAAAACAAGAAAAGTCCATTCCTGGCTTTGCGCTAGCTCTGCTTCAGGTTCACAGAAGTCGCACGCAGCAAGCGCGTGGCCACCCCAGGGACAGCGCAGGTGGCCATTTCCCTCACCGCGGGCCAGCCTGGCTCTTGGTCTGGGTGGGCCAGGCTGCAGGCTCATGAAGCATGTGTGTAAGGCATGTAAGGCTCGAGTCCACAGACCCTGGAGTAGGGCAGTGGTCGGGTGGACAAGCCCTTCCACAGGGCAAACAAACCTACCACGGGAGGACTCCACCCCCACCCCCCCAAAGTTGCTGGCCCTGGCTGGACCGGATGGATTTGCCCTGCAGAATGCACGAAAGGGAGGAGGGGGAAGAAGAGGGTGGGGCGGAGAAGGCCAGACTTTGAACTTTCTTTTTAATTTACATTTTATTGTAAAGGCGATCCACAGAGGGGCTACAGTTACACGAGATACTGAGTATATTTCTTTCTGAACAGTGTTACCCTCTCCCTCATTTTCTCCTACTCCCCCCCCCACTCCCCCCCTTCCCCCCAAGTTGTAAAGCTCGTTTTCAACAGTGTCTAGTGAGTATCGCTGTTGTATCGTTTCACCCTTTGTCCCGCCACTTCTGTGATTCCCCTTCCCTTCCCGAAATCAGACACACTTACATCTAAGACAAAGAGTACAGAAATCTAAAACAGTGATGGCAGGGAATAAACGGAAAGAAAAGAAAGAAAGAAAGAAAGAGAGAAAGAGAGAAAGAGAGAAAGAGAGAAAGAAAGAAAGAGAGAAAGAGAGAGAGAAAGAGAGAAAGAAAAGAAAGAAAGAGAGAAAGAAAGAAAGAAAGAGAGAGAAAGAAAGAAAGAAAGAAAGAAAGAAAGAAGGAGAGAAAGAAAGAAAGAAAGAAAGAAAGAAAGAGAGAAAGAGAGAAAGAGAGAAAGAAAGAAAGAAGAAGAAAGAAAGAAAGAGAGAAAGAAGGAGAGAAAGAGAGAAAAGAAAGAAAGAGAGAAAGAGAAAGAGAGAGACAGAGAGAGAGGAAGGAAGGAAGGAAGGAAGGAAGGAAGGAAGGAAGGAAGGAAGGAAGGAAGGGAGAGAGAGAAAGAACTGGAAACAGTATAATAATAAAGACAACAACAACTCTTTTTTCCATTTCTTGGAGCTCACTTCTCTAAGCATCGTTTGTGTAGTCGGCGAGCCATTGTGATTCTCTCCTAAGACCAGCCTTTGACTCTAGTGTTTTCCAGGTGGACTGCTTTCTCTCATCATCACCCTGAGCCGGAGGAAGACCGTGTGGGCCGCAGGGGAGATGGTCCACACACCTCACCTTTCATTAACCTCGGCTCTGTCTGAAGACGTCGTCCGGGACCTCGCGTCTCTCCGACTGCGAGCCTCGGCAGGCCCCGCCCCGCGCTGCTCCGAGCTGACTCGAGTCAGCTGTCTTTACTTCACTAGCATGGGGCCTCGGAGTCAGCGTGAGCTCAGCAGCCAAGCCAGGCGAGCCTCGTCCGTTTGGCTGGAGCATCCTTGCTTTTAAATGGCTCATGACATAGGGCCAGCCGAGGAGACCCCCGAGAAGCAAGGGGGCGATCACACCTGGGACCACCGCGGGCTGAGGCCCCATCACGGGCTTCGTGAAGACACCGAAGCGCAGGCTGACCCAGGACCAGAGAGGGAATAAGGAGAGGCCCACAAAAGAATCTCAGGGACTGAATGAATGGCCGGGATTTCCCACTTCCACAACAGGCTCAGGGTTTCATAATGACATTCTCAAGGCGGGATGAATCAGGGAGGTAGAACACACACACACTATCAGATCATTGCTGCTGGGAGACACTTAAAGACAGCGCTTTGAGCGAACACTTAAGTTTGGGCCTGGTTGCTAGTTTCTGTCTCCCGGGAGTGCTTTTCAGGGGAGGGGAAGTGCAGGGTAAGCTCCACGTTGCTTCCTGTGAATCCCATGGTGTGATGGCTGATCCGTGCATCCCCTCCAGACACCTGAGCCCACGTTCTTCTAGCTGGCCTGTGAGGTCTGAACGAGGGGCTGGTGAAGCAGATGGCCCTCCTCAGCATGCGGCCTTACCTGTGTTAGCCCTCCCTCCTTGCCACAAGACGCCCAAGGAAAATGAATTAAAAGGGCAGTAGGCAGGCACCAGCGGCTCACGCCTGTCATCCCAGCTACTCAGGAGGCTGAGCTCTGAGGATCGCAGTTCAAAGCCAGCCCAGGCAGGAAAGTCCATGGGACTCGCCTCCAATTACCCACCAAAAAGCTGGGCTGTGGCTCAACTGCTAGAGCGCTAGCCTTGAGCATAAAAGCTCAGGAACAGTGCGTAGGCCCTGAGTTCAAGCCCCAGGACCAGCACAAAAAGTAAAGGTGTTTGTTTGTGTGTGTGTGTGTGGGGGTAATCTCTCTTGGCTTGGTCACAGTACACTAAGATTGAATTCTCTGGATAGAAACATAGTCTAATTACATTAACTTTAGTAATTTAACAATGTAACTGTAGCTGAAAACCATTACTTCCAGGACCAAGCCCACAGAATCTGCAGAGAGTAAGATACCCGCAGCCTCCTTCCTGAGATCAGGACAGGCACAGCCCACATTCCATTCTCCGGCCTCTCCTCCTCCAAGCTTTGTACATACTCAGGGGCCTTACCTTTTAGGAGACTTTTCTCTCCTGCAGCCCTCTGGTCCCTTCCTCCTTCTAATTCTAGGCCTTTGTTATTCAAAGTACGGTACCCTAACCAGCCCAGGGCGTTATGAACCAGCCCCTGGTTAGAATGCAGAACTTGAGGCAGGCTGCGACCTGGGTGATTTTTTATGCATTGACGAATTCCTGGTTCGCTCTTCTGTTACTGCCCTTGATGGGACCCACTGAGGTGGGGGGGGGGGCACACTCAGTCCCGTTTGCTCACCAATACATCCCTCGCCCCAAAGCCTGCTTGACTGTGTTAGTTTTCAAGTAAAACGGCGTATAAAGTATATTCTGTCAAGTATATGAGATATTGAGATCTCCTATCTGGTAGAGTGTATTGCGCTACATTTCGTGTATATTGTTTATACGTGCAAGAGGGAACAAGAGAGAGAGCAAGCGAAAGAGAGTGCACTGGAAAGCTAGAGGAAGAGGCCATCCACCGGCCAGTTGTCTCTGCAGTTGGTTAGACAACTGGTTGTTGGGGAGGGGTGGGTGATTGGGGGGGCCGGGGGGGAATTCTCGGGGAGGGAGGGTGAGTTGGGGGAACCTTGGAATGCCCGGATCTCAGCCCCCAGTTATGCACTCAGGGCACAACAGCTGACGCGTAGAACTGTCCACCGCCGGCCATCTGCCGGGCCTCTTGTGTTCTCCCCGCTGTTTGGGCTGCTGCTGTTTGGGATCGTGTTCCTTTATGGCTTAGCAGCTCTGGGGAGGTGCTGCAGCTGCGGCTCTGCCAGGCCTTCGGTATCTTGGCTGTTCCAATTGGCTCTGTCAAGAGACTGCCCATCCAACTTCTCCTGGCCTCCTGCTCCTTAGCAGTTGAGAAAGGAGTCCTTTTGTAGTTTGTCATCGGAGGACACTGAGATGTGATTCCTGCCTCTCCTGCCCTCCTGCCCTGGTCAGCACCACCAACATGGCAGGACAGCACCCTAGTGCACGAGGGGCTGGATTGGACAGAGCTGCCAGGGAGTCCTTCAGCCACTGCCACCCAGGGCATGGAGGGGAGGAGAGGAGGGGAGGGGAGAGGGGAGGGGAGGAGAGGAGAGGAGGGGAGAGGAGAGGAGAGGGGAGGAGAGGAGGGGAGGGGAGAGGGGAGGGGAGGAGAGGAGAGGAGGGGAGAGGAGAGGAGAGGGGAGGAGAGGAGGGGAGGGTTGGGGAGAGGAGAGGAGAGGGGAGGAGAGGAGGGGAGGGGAGAGCGGAGGGGAGGGGAGGGGTGGGGAGAGGGGAGGAGAGGGGAGGAGAGGAGGGGAGGGGAGAGGAGGGGAGGAGAGGAGGGGAGAGGAGGGGTAGGGAGAGGAGGGGAGGGGAGAGGAGGAGAGGAGGGGAGGGGAGAGGGGAGGGGAAAGGGGAGGGGAGGGGAGGGGAGGGGTGGGGAGAGGAGGGGAGAGGGGAGGAGAGGGGAGGAGAGGAGGGGAGAGGAGGGGTAGGGAGAGGAGGGGAGAGGGGAGGAGAGGAGGGGAGGGTTGGGGAGAGGAGGGGAGGAGAGGGGAGGAGAGGAGGGGAGGGGAGAGGAGGGGAGAGGGGAGGAGAGGAGGGGAGGGGAGAAGAGGGGAGGGGAGAGGAGGGGAGGGGAGAGGAGAGGAGGGGAGGGGAGAGGAGGGGAGAGGGGAGGAGAGGAGGGGAGGGGAGAGGAGGGGAGGGGAGAGGAGGGGAGAGGAGAGGAGAGGAGGGGAGGAGAGGAGAGGAGGGGAGAGGGGAGGAAAGGAGGGGAGGAGAGGAGGGGAGGGGAGAGGGGAGGGGAGGGAAGGGGAGAGGGGAGGAGAGGAGGGGAGAGGAGAGGGGAGGGGAGAGGGGAGGGGAGGGAAGGGGAGAGGGGAGGAGAGGACGGGAGAGGAGAGGAGGGGAGAGGGGAGGAGAGGGGAGGAGAGAGGAGGGGAGAGGGGAGGAGAGGGGAGGAAAGGAGGGGAGGAGAGGAGGGGAGGGGAGAGGGGAGGGGAGGGAAGGGGAGAGGGGAGGAGAGCATTGCTTGGGAATTTGAGGTTGGAAAGCCCCCCCCCTTTTTTGCCAGTCCTGGGGTTTGAACTCAGGGCCTGGGCACTGTCCCTGAGCTTCTTTTGCTCAAGGCTAGCGCTCTGCCACTTGAGCCACAGCGCCACTTCTGGCTTTTTCTGTGTGTGTGGTGCTGAGGAATCGAACCCAGGGCCTGATGCATGCTAGGCGAGCACTCTACCACTGAGCCACCTTCGCAGCCCTATGGAGAACATTTTTTAAGTTCTACAGAACTAAAAGTGTCCACATCCAAGATGGACGCAGTGTGTGTGCATGGATGGGGGATTGCCTCTGGTTTTGTGGCTGTCCTGGCTTAGCCAGCTTAATACCCCATTGTCTAATCCCATCAGGTGTCTGCCTGACCCGTTCCTGCTTGGGCCCCCCCCCCCTCCATGGTTAGACCACCTATCTGTTTATCATTATGGCTTTCTCATCCGGGGTTTTGTGAGGCGACCCAGAGCCAGCCGGAGATCTGATGGCTGGAGGGGGGGGGGGGTGGCCAGGCCCGGGGCCAGTTGCAGACTGAAACCATGGAGCGTTTCAGCCGCGAAGCCTGTGAGACAATGCCCGCCGGGGAGTCCTGGACACCCTGGCCTCCCGGGCCCCCGGCCTCTGGAGGGTTTCTTACGTGGGACCCTTAGGATCCCAGGGGCTCCGGCATGTCTGAGCTAAGGGGCGCCCGGGGTGCCTGCACGCAGCGGCAGGTGTACCAGAGGGTGCCAGGGGCCAGGGCGGCGGCTGGCGCCAGGCATCTGCTCCTGCCGTCTGCCCAGAATAGAAGGTCTCATTGTGATACATTAATCCTTTGGCTGGGATTCTGCCCAGGCCACCAGCTCAGCCTGCGCCCCGGGCAGGGGAGGGATGGGGGCGAGGTACACTTAACTCATTCCGCACATTCCCCCTTCCCGTGCCCAAGTGCCCGTGCAGCTGCTCGGCCTTGCGCGGAATGCGGGCTGGGCCTGACAGGTGGCTGGGCACCCCCCCCCCCCCCCCCCCCCGCACACGAGGCCTGTGTGCTGTGTGCTGTGTGCTTCCTTGTAAGTGGCCCGCGCTGCTGGGGGCAGGGAAGCAGCCGGGCAGGCCTTTCTCTTCCTCCGATCTCCCCAGTGATGGAATCTGCACTTCTCACTCAACCTCTGCGCAGGGCAGCTCAGTCCTCAGTCCAACAGGGAGGATCTTACTCACCGCACAGGGCGTTGCTCTGTCCACAACGCGCTGAAGAGTTCACAGAGGGACAAAGACCTCGTGACTCCATCACGCGAGGTTGGGGGTCGGCTCTGACGGCGGCACAGGATGGATGTGGCTGTCCCTTCCTGCCTGGTGGGAGGAGGGGCTGGTGGCACTGTCCTGAGGGCTGTGTGGCCCTCCCCGGGGGGAGGTAGAGCTCCCAGGACGGGCAGCGGTGGTTTCACACTGGTGTCTGGCCACTCGAAGCCTCTACTGTACACCTGGAAATGGCTAAGATGGTAAAGACTTTTGGCGGTCTGTATGCTTCACCACAATCACACACATCACATGTCAGGTGTGTCACAGGTGCACCGTAAATGTTGCCTCTTCCCCACGCCGGGATAGCCATGAAGACCATCCTGACACCGCGTGGGGTGGGGGGGGACCACCGGTTATGGATGGGTTATTGTGAGGCTGGGGTGGAACCAGGCCAGCCCGAGGCTGGCAGAGCCCCGCGTCAGGACCGCTCAGCATTTGGAGACAGGGTCAGGAGAGCAGGTACTCCGCAGGTAGGCCCAAGGCTCAGAGCCTAGAGTGTCCATGCAGCAGTGATTGGTCCTGGCTCCTGAGTCTGGCTGGGGAGGAGGGGGCGGCGGTGAGGCAGCCTGGCATTCTCTATGATGCGCATCTCCCCAGAGACCTGCTTTCATCTCCTTACTGTCCGCATCAGCCCACCCCGAGTGCTCCAGGAGCTGAGAGACTGGAGTTCTCAGTGAACGTTCTGTTGTGAGTCTTAAGAAACACAGCCCAAGGGCCTAGGTCAGAGCCACCTTGAGGGCTTCTCCGGAAAGATCCAGAAATGAGTGTGTGCCTCTCCCAAGCAAGGGGGGGAAAAGCAGAGGCGGCAGCTGGGGCCGAGTACACCGTGACTCTCCGAGTCTCGCGCGGTAAACATGAGGCTATTTTTGTGTGGAGTATTTTCACAGGCTCATCGGCTTCATCAGAAAGCAACAGTTCACCTTCTGAGAGACTAAAGTTAATTTTCCAGGACCTTAAACAACCTTTGGCCCCGGCTTGGGAGGCCCAGGGACAGAGGTGCTGAGTGACACCACGCAGCAGAAATGGAAACGCAGGGGCGATGTCTGAAGGGGAGGCTGGGAGGCACGCTAGAGAGAAGAGGAGCCGGGGCTTGAAGATCACCAGAGCACCGGGCGCTGCTGAAAGGCGGGGGGTCACTGCACACCCTGGGCCCTGCACCCCGTCCTGCTGACTGGAGCCCCCCCCCCCGCTGACTTCCAGCCGCGTGGCCCCGTGGGTTTTGAGTCCCGGCTAGCTGGAGATCACCGCGGGCCCAGCACCCTTTGTGCGTGCTCAGCATCCTGCGTTGCCAGCCCAAACGCAGCAGGAGACGGTCCGTTCCTTGTCAGCCCGGGGCTCCCCTTCCAAGACTCCCCACAGGGCTGTGGTACAGAGGAGGCAGGAAGCAAGCAAGCACTGAGAAAATGACTCTGATCTGTCCAGCTGTGTCTTTCGATCCCTCTGAATTAGAGGTAATAATGCAGCCTTCACGGCGGTCCCGGACCCATCTTTATGCTCACACCCAGGGACGTGCCTGTACACACACACACACACACACACACACACACACACACACACACACACCCCACCCGGCCCCTAGACCAGCCTGCAAGCAAGGCCTGGGGTCCTCTGGACAGACATGTAAGCAATAGCCAGCTGTTGTTTCCAGCCACGGTGCAGGGGTCCACAGCATGTGCTCACCCACACACAGACAGAAACCCCACACAAAAAGGAACCCACGGAAAGGTGTCTGACATTGAGGCTAAGGTGAGGAAAGGCAGGCGGCTCTGCGCCCAGAGAATAAGAAGCAGTTGTTTCTAAATCCAACTCGAATACGGGTGACCTTCAACACATTATCTAACCTCTGTGGGTCTCCGTTTCTCTGAGCATAAATCAGGAGCTATAATTATGACCAGAGACTTGGCTACACAAAGAATAGTTGGGGGAAGAGGATGGGGAAGGGGAGGTGAGTGGGGGGGGAAAGCCTCGCACGCTGGACAGGTGAGGCTAGTGTGGTTCACGCTGCGGACCCCGAAGCCCGGGGTCTCAGCCCCGCATCTGTGTTTCAAGCTCAGCCACGTAGGTTTTCCTCTCCTCCCACTCCCCCAACTGTAACCCCTGTGCGAAAGTTAACATTAACATCTCACCCATTAATCCATGCCCATGTACGTTAGCTATGGGCCACACACTTTAGGACTCGGGTCTGGACACGTTGGCGTATTCTGTTCTTGAAGTAGGAGAAAGGAATGGCCTCTCCCCAGCTCCCAGACAGCTCTCCCCGGCTCCCCCGCTCGGAACCTCTTCCCGACCATGGAGACCTTTGGATCTCTGTGGGAGTCGGATGCGGGCGTCACTGATGCACAGATCCCTCGTTGTTTATACAACGAGACCCGATTTTTTTATTTCAACCCTCTACAAGAGGGACGGATGGGGTCTGTCTGTGGCGGTGTTGACCATCCTGCCCTGAACTTCATAGCTAGATGCTTTGAAAAGAAGTGAATTAATTTCTCCTCGCCAACACAGTCATTCTCACGGAGTTCAACGTTCAGCATGTGTGTGTTATTTTCTGCAGTATTTCAATATACATATTCTAACGAGGGGACCAGAAGAAGAAGCTCTTGACACGCACCCCCTCCTCCTCTTGCACAGAACCTAATTATTCCCTGACGCCATCCTGCCTTGTCAGAAAGCTCCACGGAGGCCGGCAGCTGGGACATTTTAGCCTCTGCAGATTAGCAGAGCTGAGGAATTTGTACGTGCAGCTTTAAAATAGCTGAGGTGTCAAACAGGGGTCAGTTTTCACCTAGGACATTTATGGTGGGGAATCTGCTCCGTGACTCCTTTGCTGAGCGTTTTTATTTATAGCCAGTTAGCTATTGCCAAGCTTCAGGCCTGGCCGCTTTGGAGGCCAGAGGGCAGTCACCTCCGCAGACCAACGCGCGTGTGTGTACACGCATGCGTGTGTGTGTGCACGTGTGTGCTGTGTGTGCTTACACACCCTGCAGGCATCCTCGGAACACCCTCATGTTTGGAGAAGTTTAGAGGTGCTGTGGGAATCAAGTGCCCTGGAAGGGAAAGATGGAGGGGAGATGTTATCAAGATGCATTGTGCTCTGCATCTGACTTGTTGAATCGAAACCCTTTTGTACAACTGTTTAAAAATGATGATGATGATGATGATGGTAGTAATAATAATAGAATGTGGGGGGAAATCAGCATGCAAAGACTGGATGTACAAACAGGCTGTTGTCTCTGCAAGCACTCAGAAGAGCAGGGACAGGATCCCAAAGCCCTCCTGGCTCCCTTTCTGCGACCCCCTCTCCTGGGGAACTAGGCCGACAGCGAGCTACTGGAGGCGGTGGCCCAGGGGCTGTTCAGGGTTCACAGGAGACCCTTTGAATGAGCTGTGTGCTGACCGGCTATGCATTTGTGCCATGCCCTAGCAGCAGCCGGGCTCTGTTCCGGATGGCGAAGGGCAGTGCGGTCACCAGGGAGAGCTGGAGGGCAGGAGACACCATGTTCTTCCCGTCTCCGGCCCAGCGCCCTGGCAGCTGGACAGGGCGGCGATGGCCGGGGGCTGCGGGGCACGTCTGTGCACCAGCTCTGAGCCTCCTGAGCGGTGGCAGCGGTTCAGCTGTGTGGGAGCGAGCGGCTGCGCACAGCTACCTTCCCTCATGCGGCCGCAGAGCCTGGGCAGGGACAGGGTTGCGGGCTGGGCAGCGGTGGGCATGGCAGAGCCCAGCAAGGGGACAGGGTCGCGGGCTGGGCACAGTGCTCGAGCTCCCCGGCCGGTCTCGCTGCACACAGACTCAGATGATGCGCGCTGACTGTGTGGGACCAGGCGCTTGCCCTCCCGCAGGGCTGCCCGGCTGTCACGCCGCCGGAATGACGGGACCTTGGGAGCCTCGCCTGGGTCCCGGCCGCGGACGCGCTCACGGGGTCACGGGTGGCGTGTCTAGCTGGCTGCTGTCATCCGCGTGGTGGGCGTGACGGACCCTCTCTCCCGGGGGCAGGTGGGGAGAGGCCAGGTGGGGATTCCTCAGGGCACCGACGTGAAGGTCTTCCAGATGTGGCTTTCCAGGCAGAGTTGAGGCCCCGGCTTCCATCCCGGCCAGGCGGGCTCTGGGAAAGCTGGAGGATCGCGCTAGCCGCGTGTGGCGTGGATGTGTCGTGGGTGACCAGCCCACAGCACCCACGTGCCTCTCGGGTGCTTTCCTCGGTCATGGTGCACCAGATGCCTGGCAGAGTAACTGGGCAACGGATGGCGTGGAAAAAAATAGCCTTTCCTTGGATGTCAGGGAAAGCCTACAGAGCAGAGCCTCATGACACAGCCGGCCCGCGGGCTGCGGTGATGGACTCCTTCCTATGCTGTCACCACCGGAGTTGGCCCTGTGCGTCCTCAAGCTGCGTGGTGCTCAGGGCCTCCTCCCTCAGCGCCACACTGGCGGTGAGAGTTCAGAAACCTCTGGGACTCACTGAAGCGTTTGCCTGGAAAGACTGAGAGGTCCTACAAGTTGCTAGGAAGTCATTCTTGATTTCAAAGCGGGGAGAGGGGTGGTAGTGGAGAAAATCCATTCTTTGAATGTATCCTTGTACAAATAGGCCCAGCACAGCCTCTGCGGCCACAGCGGCCACTTCCTTTAGCGACGCCCTGTGAGCTGCTGCTTCTAAGTCCATGTCCAGGGGCCACCCCTGGGCTCCTGTGCAGCCGCGCTTCCCACGGTGCCCGCAGAGAAGAGGACGCGGGTCCTCGGACCACGCAGGAGCGCGTGGCGTGGAGACCTGCGGTGTCTGTGATCCTCGGGTGCACACGGCCCGGACGGTGTCCGGGACGGAGTTTCCCACGCACGGCCTCAGGTCTGCGCGCGAGGGCCGAGACGCCACGGTGTGCATCTCATTTCTGTTTGACAGAAACTGTCTGTGTTAAAGGAGTCACTCTCTGCCGGCCACCGGCAAGTCCGCCAGCCGAGGTTTCTCCTTCAGCGCGCGATAGTTGATCGCAGAAGGAGGGAGTGAGGTGGGGAGGGGGAGGGGAGGGGAGGGGTGGGGGAGGGGAGGGGAGGGGAGGGGGAGGGGAGTGGGAGGGGAGGGGGAGGGGAGGGGGAGGGGAGGGACACTGGAACTGTGACAGAAGGCCCGGGAGAGCCGGGCTGGATTTGCCCAGCGCCTGGAGACCTGGATGCGGTGCTTTCTGGAGGGCTGACAACTTTTAGTCTCACCCTCCGTGCTTTGGGATAAATGGCACATACGCCTCTTAGGGAGGCTGCAGGGGTGCCGGGCCTCTCTCCAGCAAGGTGGGCGCAGCTCGCGGGGTCTGGGCGTGATGAGGGGCGTGAAGTCCGGTCCGCAGTGCTTCCCGGGAAGAACCAACATGGCATTGCCGGAATGATGACGCTCCCACCTCCCCGCGCCATCTGCCGCGTGTGCCCCGGGCACCGAGAGGCTCAGCGCTGGGCACAAACACAGCAACCATCTGAGGGGACGTGACCTTCCCCGGGGGGGGGGCCCCCGCACGGAGACCTGATGAGGCCGCTCCCCAAAGCCCGTCAGCCGGGGAGCAGTTCTCCTCCAGGCCCTGGTGACTTGGGTGGCGGCTGTGGTCCAGTTCGGCTCCCGGGGCCCCGGTGTGGCTTCCTGTGTGGGGTCCAGTCAACACACAGGTCGCACCCGCTTGGTATCTGCGCGGCACCCATGCGCACCTGCTCACTCTGCCCCGGGGGAAGGCACCGCCCAACTGGCTGGGCTCCGGCGTTGTTTGGGAAGTAGATGACACGCAGGAGGGACAGGGCCCGTGCCAGACCCCTGTGCCGCAGCCCCCGTCGACCCCTGGGGCCCTGAACACAATCGCCGGTGAGCTGAGGGCTCCCGGGGAACACCCCGCACACTCCACGGCGGCTCACCATGCCACACAGAACGATTTCTCTGATCAGTTAATTCTGTGATGAAATCCCCCCCCACACCACCAAGGTCGTGGAAGAAATGCCAATCACGGATCCCAAGCAGGAGCGTAGAGCAGTTTCTAGATACCCGGGAGCCCCGCAGACCTCCCTCCGGCCTCCCTCCAGAAGCCAGGAGAAGAGCTGGAACCCGGGGTTAGAGTGTCTTCCGGAAATTCCTGCTCCCTGCCCAGAACTCTGGGTCCCCAGTGAAAATGTGAGCTCCCCTTCCAGACCCCCAGCCATTCCAGTGGGGCAGATGGCCCACGGGGAGAACTCAGGCTCACGACTATCTCCAGTGCTCACACCCTCAGAGACCCATCCTCCCCCTCCCCCCAGCCAGCCCTTCACCGGGGTGCGAAGGACAGGTGTGCAGTGTGTCTCATTGCATCTAGTGGGGTTGCGGCGCTCAGAGCTATCCCAGGCATTTCTGACACGGGGAGAAGATTCTGGAGAGGAATTTGGTTGGGATCTAGAAAGGCGTATTTACAAGGAAGGCCCAAGATCCCGGTAATAGGAGGATTCTGATGATTGCGGGGGCTCTTGTTCCTGCTGGTATACTTTTAAAAATTCAGAGAAAGTGCAGAGGAGAGAATGACTCTGTTATTTCCACAGCTGGAAGGCCGTTACCGCTGTGGCCTAGGGTGTTTTTATGTGTGCCCTCATGCCTTGTCTTCATTAAGGGATCCCCAGTGCCTACCAGCTGTTCAACAAACGTTTGCTGAATAACGTATCAACTGACTGTAAGAGTTCCCTCTCTGGACTTCGAATGCAGTGTCGCATACGCGGTGGAATAAATGGCTGATGGCGTTCTGTTCTATTTCCTCTGGCCTGCCGTTCAGAAGTCAGAGCCAGCTGCTGACTGTGTTGGCACCAGATTGCCCTTAAGACGGATGAGGACTGATGTCCCAGAGGTCCCCACACAGGACCCTCTTAGCAACCAGAGTGTGGTACCCGTGCAACACAGCCATACAGATCACTGCTGCGTGCAACACAGGACGCCGCCGTATTCTGTGGCCTCTGTCACTGGGGAATGGTGAGAGCTGGGTTATTGGCCTTCTATCCCTCCTCCTTAAGGCTGACGAGGAGATCTGGCATAGAGCTAGAGACGCCAGACTGAAGCAGTGCTGTTGAAATCGGTTAGGACTCTGCATCCAGACGACCCTGTTCGCGCAATGACAAAGAATCTCTTTAAATAGAGCTCAGGGCTGAGCGAATGAATTAATTACTGATGCCAGCAGCACCCTGGAAGGAGAGACAGGAAAGCCTGCCGCCTAGTGGAGGCCCCGGGCACACCTGCCACGGGAGGAAGGGGGAAGGGGGGAGGCGGGGGGGAGGGGCCGG